ATTAGCGGGGACAGCGAGGCGAAGCTGCGGAATCTCTTTCTCGACGCCCTCGCCGCCGCGCCGAGCATGGTTTTTATTGACGAGATCGACACCATCGCGGGGCGGCGGGAGGAGGCCTCGCGCGGGATGGAAAGCCGGCTGGTGGCCCAGCTTTTGACCTGCATGGACCGCCTCGCGCAGGCCTGGCGGACGGCCCACAAGGTCGTCTGCGTGATGGGCGCGACGAACCGCGCGGAGGCCCTGGACAGCGCCCTCCGCCGCGCCGGGCGCTTCGACCGCGAGATCGCCCTCGGGATCCCGTCTTTGGACGAGCGCGTGAGTATTCTTCGCCGGCTCTGCGAGACGCTGAACCTCGCCGGGGATGTAGACTTTTTCGAGCTGGCGACCCTCACCCCGGGCTACGTCGGGGCGGACCTGCACCTGCTGATTAAGGAGGCCGGCATCCTCGCGATCCGGCGGAAGTACCGCGAGCTCCAGGCCCACGCCGACGCCGGCGAGCCCGAGGGGGTGGGCGATTCCGGCGATTGGGCGGCCTCGGCCCTCGGCGACGGCGGGGCGGACCTGAGCGGCTTTTGCGTCACCTTCGACGAGTTCAAGGCCGCGACGCGGCGGGTGCAGCCGTCGGCGATGCGCGAGGGCTTCACGACGGTCCCGGACGTGAGTTGGGCCGACGTCGGCGCCCTCGAGGACGTCCGCGCGGAGCTGCTGACGAGCGTCCTGCAGCCCATCCGCGCCCCCCGCCTGCACGCGCGCTTTGGGCTGGATGGCCCTGTAGGGGTCCTGCTCTACGGCCCCCCGGGCTGCGGGAAGACGCTCGTCGCCAAGGCGATCGCGAACCAGTCCGGCGCGAACTTCATCTCGATCAAAGGCCCGGAGCTGCTGAATAAGTTCGTGGGGGAGAGCGAGCGCAGCGTGCGCGGGGTCTTCGCGCGCGGCCGGGCCAGCGCCCCGTGCGTGCTCTTTTTCGACGAGCTCGACGCCCTCGCCCCCCGCCGCGGCTCCGACCGCGCGAACCCGAGCAGCGAGCGCGTGGTGAACCAACTCCTGACGGAGCTCGACGGGGTGGAAGGGCGGCGGGGGGTCTACGTCATCGGGGCGACGAACCGGCCCGACATGATCGACCCCGCGATGCTGCGGCCCGGGCGGCTGGATAAACTCCTGTACGTCGCCCTGCCGTCGCCCGGGCAGCGCGGGGCGATCCTGCGCACCCAGGCCCGGCGCTACCCCGTCGACCCCCACGTCGACCTCCAGGCCCTCGGCGAGGACGACCGGCTCGAGGGCTTCAGCGGGGCCGACCTCGCGGCCCTCGTCCGCGAGGCCTCCCTGACGGCCCTCAAGGCCGTCTACGCCGCCCGCTCGACCGCCGCGCTGGAGGAGCTCGAGCGCGACCTCTCCGGGCAGTCCCTCCAGGACGCGGCCCTCCCGGCCATCCATCTGAGCGACTTCGAGGAGAGCCTGCGGAAGGTCCGGCCCTCCGTCTCCGCGCTCGACCGCGCGAGCTACGAGTCCCTCCACCGGAAAATCCAACAATCGAGCTAAATATACGCCCCCAGAGAGGGGCCAGGGCTCGCGAACCGGCCCCTTTGACATAGCCTTTCTTTCTTTCTTTCTTTCTTTTTTGTTATTATAGCTTCTTTGAGGTTGCGTTTCTTCCGCCCTTCCGAAAGAATGATCGGCTTGGGATTCGCTCGGCAACCGAAGTCCTAGAACCAATCCCATCACCGATGATCGAACGCGAATCGTCTGTGGGTATTGCGAATGGGTAAGGCTTATTCGTGGACGAAAAGCGAGTTTTTTCTTTACCATTATCTTGAATATCGGAGACGCTAGAGAGACTGCGCCGACTCTGGCAGCTTTCCCTGATCTTTCCCCACTTCGTTGACAGTATAACTGGGCTTGGAATGCGCTACGGTGTGCATTTCTACAGCTACGCAATTCAATAGCCATGACCTTTCTTCCTGTTCTTCGTGATTTATGCTTTCTGATTTATCTGATGCAAGGGATTCAACTTCAAGGGCTAGGGTTTATGCACCTGGATGCATGCCTTTCTATTCGTATCCAGTTGTCTGGGAAGGACCACGTAGTGGAATATTCTATGAGACGTTCGCTTCTGAAGCATCTAGAAGCGCGGGGAAACACGCGATTAATCTATAATCTAAAATAATGACAACTACTGGTGGAAAGTAATATGCACCCAGCAGGAAAAAAAAAAGGTAAACCCACGTATTATTTAGTAACATCTTTTTATGATGCAACCTATGGTCGTATCAATGCAAACAAATATTGAAATCAAGTGATGTATTTCCCACCTACCTTCTATTCCCGTCCGTCTTCGGAAGAAATGAATTTAGTTATATATAACTACACTTGACATACCCC